AAAAAAAAAAAGTTTTAAAATTACTATTTCTGATACTATCATGTTATGTGTCCATAAGTCAAGAAGAGGGGCCACAGAGATGGCTCAGTGGCTTAAGTGCCTGCCTAGGAAGCACAAGGTCCTGAGTTTGATCTCTAGTACAAAAAAAAGTCCAAAAAAAGCTACTCACAGGCCTGAGTTGTAAGTCTAAATTTTCTTTTAAAAAATGACCTCTTTCCTCTATTTTTTTCAATTTATTTTTTGTAAAAAAAAAAAAAAAATTAGAAAGGAAATAAAGTAAAATACTTGGGGAGGTACCAGTGCCCCAAAACACTACTGCTGGCCACCAAGCCACGGGACACTCAGGTGCAGGCCACCACCCCAAGTGCCACGGCATGAGGCCCCTCAGCAGGCCAAGGCTCCTGGTGCTCAGCATGGGAGGAGACGGAGGGCTGCACAGAGCAAGGTCCCCACGGCACGGTGTTCACTAATAGGCAACACCACAGCCACCCTGAAAGGCAGGGATCCCCAAGAGATGGGGAAGTAAGGGAGGGGCCCGGGCCTGGGACTGACAGTGTCACTGCAGGGCTGGCCTGGAACACGGGCGCTGGCAGTGGGGAGGCTACGCACCCTCTGCTGTAGAACTGCACTTAAGCCCAGGCATTTCCATCGCACCTCACCTATCCCCTACAGAGCACTCACTGAAGGGTGCACTGTATCCCCTACAGAGCACTCACTGAAGGGTGCACCGTATCCCCTACAGAGCGCTCACTGAAGCGCGCCGCTCCCCTTCAGAACCTTGCACCTTTCATCCTTGGGGTCTGTGGCACCTGACTGCGCAGTGCAACAGGAACATGGGCCTGACGTCACAACATGCACACCAGCTCTGCCCGCTGCTGTGAGGTCTGTCTGCAGCGCGTAAGCTGCCTCTCTTGCGCACGCCTACACCAAGTCCACCCGGCCACACTCGGCCAGGGAGAGCTCAGGAGTGTGCCCATAGCACACACTTTCGGGATGCATCTGACTCAACGCAGACCAGACCGCCAGGGAGGCCAAGCAGAACGCCAGGAAAGCACAGAAAGAAACGGATACTGCAAATGGCCACTCAGAGCACTGCGACAATCAGGGAAGGGTGCGCTCGGTGGGGAGCCTCGCTAGCGTGGCTCCAGGTCCTGTCCTCAGCACCACAGAGACACAGCCTGAAACAACCCAACAGGTTCCAGGGTGTAATGCAGCCTGGACGGTTCCGCACATGTCAGCTGTTGAGAGAATCAGGGGCCGGGGAGATGGCGCAGTAGAATAAGCGCTTGCCTGGCGAGCGCAAGGGTCTGAGTTCAATCCCTGGTTCCGAAAAAAAAAAAAAAAAAATCAGCCCTCCTTCACACCGCTGCACTCCCACAGAGGTCAGGGCTCTCCTGGGCACAGCTGGCTTCCACAGGCCAGTGGGGAGCTGTGCGGCATCGCTGCCCCTGCCCATCCACACTCCGCCGTGAGTGAGGCTGGCCCACCCTCCATACCCCTCTGCGCTCCCCAAGGTCCTAGGGAACAGCGCATTCCCCACGCCACATCTCTGCTCACTTCCTCTGCTCTTCCCCCAACTCCTGCACCAAAGCTGCCCTTCTCTGTAGGCAAAGTCCAGAACTTGTTCAGGCTCAGCCCTGCCTGTACTGACAGTGGGTGGCACCAACTGGTCTACCAGTGACCGCTACCTACTTGGGCTCTAACCAAACCTCACTTTCTCCTCTGGAAGATGATGGGGCAGAACCTTTTAGGGCCTCCCAGGGTCTGTTTACTAAAGTGGGTGCCCCAAGGCTGCTGAGTCGGCTAAGAAGAATGAGACCATTCAGGGAAGAGAGAGAATCCCCACTTTTATCTATTCAGCTTAGATATTATGGCTCTACATAATATTTCATGGTGAAAGATGAAAGTGTGGAAATCATCCAGTTAAATGCCTCCCAGGGTGCTCTCTCATGTCTAAATCACAGCAGAACCCTTCCAAATAAACCAGAACTTTTTTTTTTTTTTTGCTTATAGATCTTTTCTAAGTAAGTGTTTTCTGCACATGATCAATTTCAGGAATCACCTGGAAGAACACAAGACCATGAGGTACCGCTGTCAAACCAGATGTCCAGGATGTCCTGGCCAGGCAGGTACTCCAAACCCTCGGGACCGCTGACCTAGGAGACAAAGAGAAGCACTTTACTTACACGGAGCCTGTGGACCCCGGCAGCACCCCAAAAGTCTGAAGACCGTGAAGCACAAGCAGTCACAAGCACTCAACCGCATTCCCAATTTGACTTGAGCGCTTCAGGCTCCCTGCCAAGAAGGGCAGCTGTGCACTCTCCACGCTGGCCCTGGTCGGGTATGCGACGTCGGGGGCCAGCGGTTCCCTCCAGGCCCTACAGTGTCCTGACTGCCAGGGACAGTGTCCTCAGTCGCCATCCAGACACAGTGCCCCAACCCCTCCAGAGACAACAAAAGTGCTAATGCTGCTGCTGCTGTTGAATACCTGCTTCCCCCCTAAACCAAATGTCCACTCTGGGACCGCAGCAGCCTCTCACCCACACCAAGAGTTCACTGACTTCCCATTCCCTGCGACCGCCCGCAGCCCCGGCCTCACGGCATGCACACACCACCACGCACCATGCACCACGCACCGCACCTGGGACAGCACTTCCTGCGGGAGCAGCTGCTCGGGGGGCAGCGTCCACCAGACGTCACTGCCGTGCTGCTCCACCAGCCTGGCAATGTGCTCCACGGTCTGGCTGGGGAAAGGAAGGCAAATCACTCGACTAGGTGGTGAGGACCAGCCGGCGGCTCTCTGCCCAGCTTTGCCTGCCCCCCGCAACCGCAGCAGCACCTGCAGCTGCTGCCGAAGTCATTGATCTGCCGCAGCAGCGTGGCACCGAGCGAGCACACGCCTCACCCTGAGCAGGGGCGGGGGTGTGGCTCAGGCAAGGCCCTGGGTTCCCCTCCAGAAGGAAAAATGAAAATGTAGAAGGAGAAAATAAAGCACTTCTGCTCTACGCCACAGCTCTACTTCTTATCCAGGCACAGGACCTCCACTCAGAACCTCGGCATCACTTCGCTCCTCTAGCTCCCGCCCCATTTCACCATCCCATGCTGCCCTTTCTACCCCAGAAGCCTGTCACCATTCCTTCTAACACGTCACTCCCGTCTCACTGCCTCCCTCTGCGCTGAGGATTCTAGAGTCTGGCTTCCCCTGCTCTCCTCTCTGTAATTTACTTGGTCTACCCTGAGAGATACATTCCTAAAACAGTCTTTATGTATCACAGGATTCTCCTCTCAGAAACAAGGCAGCCAGGAGTGGTGGCACACTGAGAGCTCAGCACTCAGGAGGCCGAGGCAGGAAGATGGCACATTCAAGGCCAGCCTGGGCTACTTAACAAGACCCTGTCTCAAAAATATCTTAAAAAGAAAAAATTCACTCACTCCTTCAGGACCTAGTCCAAGCCTACGGGCCAGAAGCAAGGCCACCGTAGAGTGTGGGTCTGGACCATGGACATCCAGCGCACGTTCCGAATCTCACTCTATTTACACAGCCATGCACAAGAGCTAGAGCTGTTCTCAGGCCCAGTCAGCCCCTCTGTTGAAGACAAGATTCCAGGCTCCTTGTTCAAACTTCACACTGCTCCCCTCCAGGGTCTGGGCCCGGTTCTAGGCCCTGGATGAACCACAGACAAGGTCCCTGCCTGAGGGAACGTGCATCTGAGTGCCAGCCCCACAAATCCCGGAGTGCTGGGCACACTGCGCCGACACTGGGGTGACCCTGCAGCCCAAGACCGGGCTTGGGCATGGCTTTGGGAAGATACACAGTGGTCAAAGCAGCAACTTGAAAACTCAGCTCCAGGAAAAACTGACCTGAGAGACCCTCGGCTTCCCCTTGTAAACAATGGGGAATAAGAGCTTGGCCCTGGTAGACAGGAAGGAGGGCAACAAAGAAATCACCCTCAGGCTCGCCTTTGCCCGCAGTCGCCCTGCAGCGGCCAGGTCTGAGTGCCAACCTGCGCTGAACCCAATCGGCCTTTCAGCTTTGAATGAAAACTTTCCATCCAGATTCTCAGAGTCTTGAAATCCCAAGCCCAAAGCCTAAAACCCTACAGATCTTCAGGCCCCTTGACGACATTTGCTGACACCACTCCTATGTCAGCCGCCCGTAGGAAAATGGAGTAAGTCCCACCGTTCCTGTGCTGTTTCAGCAAGCCTGCAGCTTCTGACCACAGCAACACTGGGAGAGCAACATGGGGAAGGCACTGCCTCCGGGAGCATTCCCTTCAGTCGCCACACACTGCAGCTCAGGGTGGGGCTGGGACCAGCAGCTCTCGCTGTTCATGGCTTTGCCACCGAGAGCCAAGCACGTGGCAAGGCCTGGCCTCTCTGTACCTTGTTCACCTCATTTAAAATGCAAATAACAGCAGATTCATCAAGAAACTGACTTAAGTAGTAACTAAGCTGCTAACACAGAGCGTCTGTAACATACAGGTCACAAACTGTTGCTCAAGCTCATCTTCTGAAATCAGGCAAATATAAGTTTTAGGCTAACCAATTATCAAAACACACACCTGTTTTTCTAATTAAAGACTGAAAAACATATACTAAAGTCAACTTTTGAAATACTGTCATTCATACCATACTTCACAGCCCTACTGACAAAGACGCCGGGGCCAGGGAGATGGCTCAGTGGAGTAAGTGCTTCTCTGGCAAGTGCAAGGGCCTGAGTTCAATCCCCAGTTCTACCAAAAAAAAACCCACCAAAGATGCCACTGCAGGTGCCCAGGGAGTGCAGCGGGCTCCGTCTCACTAGGCATGACCACACAGAACAGCGGACCTTGCTGTCAGGGAGCACACACCACAGCCACGAGGGTGCCCTCCACGTGAGTTACAAACTGCAGTGTCTTACAAAGAGAGCTCAGTTCACAGTCTTTTTTTTTTTTTTTCAGTACTGGGGATTGAACTCAGGACTCTGCAAGCGCTTATTCTACTGAGCTATCTCCCCGGGCCCTCAGTTCATATTCTGTGAAGGACGGAATGAAAAACTCCGAGACTAAGTAAGTATTTAGAAGCCTTACAAGTATTAAAAACATACACTGGCACAGTTCTGAGACACAGGCCGGCTTCAGATGGACTTCTCTTTTTGCCTTTTTGAGACAGGGTCTCGCTAGTTGAGGCTGGCCTTGAGCTCACTTTGTAGTCCAGGCCAGTCTCAAACTCACAAATATCCTCCTGTCTCAGCTGAAATTACAGACATGCGTCACCATGTCCAGATTTAAACGGGACTTCTTAACAGTAAAAATAAACTTCTGTGTCATCAGACCACAAATTCTTCAGGTAGTGCTAGCTACACGACAGTAACAGTTACGTATCAGTGGTTTTTTATAGCTGACACAGAACATTTCACCAGTTAAGAAAAATATCGGGGGCCTGCCCTCTAGCTCAGCTCTTTAAGTGGCTCCTTCAACAAAGCAGTCAGGCTCAGGTTGCTGTGGTTCATCCCCACAACTCAAGCCAGCCAAACCTGCCCTGAAGGCATCCGGAGCAAAAAAAAAAAAAAATCCTTAAAGGGGCCGGGGAGATGGCTCAGTGGAATATGCGCTTCCCTGGCAAGCACAAGAGCCTGAGTTCAATCCCCGGTTCCGCAAAAAAAGAAAAATATTAACATCCTATAATCAGATATTCAAGTATTAGATATTAGATATTGAGAAATCTGAAGGTACATCTAGTGCCCGAAGAACAAAAAGAGAAAGACGGTAGGAAAGCAAGTTTGTACGCACACACAAACCTCAGCAGATGTGGCTCGTGCCAGTTAGGAAACTTCATCAAAAAAGAATGATTCTAAATGGGTGTCAGCCGGGCGCGGTGGTACACACCACAACCGCAGCACTCGGAGGCCGGAGCTAGCACTGCAGACAGTACCAGGGGAAGGAAGGGCAAGGGCCCAGGAGCACAGCTGCCCGTGCTGACCTCGCTTCGCACACAAGGCAGGGCCGCACGAGCCACCTTCTGAGCCTGCGCGCACACACGCTGCCCCGTCAGAGCACTTCTCGAGCCTGCCAGCTGCTATAGAAACACTGCCCTGGGGACTCTTAACTGCGGGCTCCACCGCTGTCAGAACCGGCCCTGAGGCGCCCCGCAGAAGGCTCAGCACCATCCCTCCGTCTCCTGCCCTCTGCCTCCCACAGGTGCCCTGGGTCGCAGAGTTCTCATTGGGCCCTGGAGCTTGCTGAGCACAGGCTGCAGCCACCCTGGGACGCCCTGCAGGGCGCGGGACACAGCATCCCACTTCTCTGAGCCTGGGCTTCTGCAGCACTGGGAAAGCAGGGACCAGCAGGCCCTGTGTGCAAAGGACCTCTTAACTAAACAGGTGTGAGCGGGCGGGCCATGTCTGTGTGCCAGGCCCCAAGAGACTGCGGCAGGAGCGTTGCAAGGTCCAGGCCAGCGCAGATGACGCAGAGACCCTCCCTTAACACATGGAACAGAAAGAGAAGCAAGCGCCCTAACCTCCATAGCTGAACACTCCCACAACCCTTCTAGAATACAAATTCAACTTTAGTGAAGCTAGTTTTTTTCATATTCTTAAACTTCAGGAAACTCAAGGAAATTTTAAAATTGTATTTTAATGGGGCAGGGGATACAGTTCAGTGGCACAGCACCGGCCTGGCAAGCCAAGGTCATGAGTTTGATTCCCAGCTTAAAAAAATATTTTAAGTATGAATTATGTCAAAGCCTACAGTGAGCGTATAGAAGTACCAAAGGAAGACCCCAACTCGACTCTTGGCATGCTGTTAAAGCAACTGCAAGGCCCTATCAAATTCAGGAAAATATCCGTAACTCAAATTTGTTTTAATCATATTTTCTTATAAAGATGAATTCACTCATACATGTAATGTTTAGGGACAGAAAGAAATGTGTCTTCTTTCTCGACGTGTTTGAGGGCTGTGGACAGAACCTAGAGCTTCGTGAATGTTAGGTAAGGAACCTGGCACGGGGCAACAGTCCCAGCACTTTCAGCAATGTTCTGTCCCAATTCTGTTCTGGTTCCGGTTCCGGTTCCAGTTCCAATTCTATTCTACAGCATCTCACCGCCCACCTGGGCTCAAACTCGCAGTCTTCCCACCTCACACACTCGGGTAGCTGGGATTACAGGCAGGCACCGTCATGCCTGGCTTATACACATTTGCAAACTCAAAAAGAATCTTTTGCATAAGACTCAGAAAGGGGGGCATGGTGGCACCCACCTATAACCCCAGCACTCACGAGGCTGAGACAGGAGAGTTGCTACAAGTCTGAGGCTAGCCCGGGCTACAAAGTAAGCTCAAGGCCAGGCTCATCGGTATAGTGAGACTCTGTCTGAAAAAGGCAAAACAGTAAATAAACCTCAGAAAGGCCTTGTTCTAGGGAGGAAGAAAGTTTGCCTGGGTTTGTTTTCTTTCAGATTAACAACATGTGACAAAACCACCCATCATTCATACCAATGACAAAGAACCCTGCAGTAAATTTTTAAAACCCAATTTCAAAAACTTATTGGTAAATGAAGCTGTGCAATACCAAGAAAAAAACCCAATATTTTCCTGTATTACATGTGCATATAGAGCTAGGAAAAAAAAAGTTTTTTTCAATTTGTCCAAAATAAGAAACACTTTGTAAAAGGCAGCTTTAGCTGGGTGTGCTGGTGCACGCCTGCAGCCCCAGCCCTCAGCCGCACAGCTCTGGAATTAGGGCAAAGAGAAACAGACAAGCAGGTGCCGGAGCCCAGTGCAGCCACTCCCAGCGCGCACATCTCAGACAGCCCCACTGTACACAAAGTTGTACATTGAGAATGTTAAAAGGTCCCTATGCTTGCAGGCAGGTGTGTATACTGCTCAGCTATTTCCCTAGCCCGGCTCAAACTCATCTGTCATCTTTGTGAGGCTGATGTTCCCTCTGATACCTGCTCTTTCAAAAAGCACACAAGAAGGGCCGGCCAAATAGCTCAGCAGACTGAAGCACCTGCTTAGGTGGAAAGAGTGGCCAGGGTTCAATCCCCGGCCTGCTGTGCCAGCCCAACCCCCGGGGTGCGCTGAGACAGCGATTAAGTCTGGGCGTGGTAGTGCACACCTGTAATCCCAGCTCGTGGGAGGCTGAAAACAGGAGGATCACTACGAGTCCAATCTACGTAGTGAGACCCTGTACTAAAATACAAAAAAAATAAAATAAAAGTACACAACAAGCTGGGTGAGGTGGTGCACACTAATAACCCAAGCACTAGGGAGGCCGAGGCAGGAGGATTGCTGCATTTGAGGCCAGCCTGAGCTACATGAGTTCAAGGCCAGCCTGGAGTATACAGACCGTGTCTCAAAAACAAAACAGAAAAAACACAAGCAAACTGCCTGCCATCAAGCAATGGTTCTCAAGCACCACAATGGTGGCACATGCAAAGTGTAATCCTACTATAAATTATAATGCACGGATTTTAAAGCACACTGCAGTAGATCTGAAAAACAAGTAGTGAGGCAAATCTTCAAGTGCAGGATTTAGCACAAACCACAAGATATAAAGTGAGAAGAGACTTCCTGGTGTGTGGCTGTGATCCCAGTGCTTCGAAGGCTAAGGCGAGAGGACCATGAGTCCAAGGAGAGCCTGGGCTGCAGAGCGAGACCCTGTCTCCAAAAAAAACCCGTAAAGTGAACAGAAGACGGAGAGCAGCAATCAGATCACCTCTGCGTACGTGCGTGCCGGGCAGGCTCAGAGGGCTGGAGAGCAGCGTGCCGACACAGCTGCCAAGCTGAGGCAGGCCAGGCCCAGCTCTCCCTCCCGGGGAGCCTTCCCACGCGGCTGCTGCTCACCGCAGCCATCCATCACTTCACCACACTCACACTAAAGACAAAACGAGATAAGCACATTAACCAGCACTCTCGGGTACACGCGGCTGCCTTCGTCTCATCTGGGTGGGGGTGGGGGGTGGGGGTCTCGCCAAACAGCTCAGGCTGGCCTGGAACTCACTGTGGCCCAGGCTGGGCTCAAACCCACACCACCCTCCTGTGCCAGCCTCTCCAGTGCTGGGGCGACAGGCTTGCGCACCATGCCCGGCTTTAGTTTTCTGATTCCTGCAGAAAACTGTGGCCGGCTTCCCACTGAGCACACCTCATTCGGGCCTCCCACAGTACGCTGGCACAACACAGCTTCCTAGAAAGCCCAGGGTCTTGCTCTCTGTTAATACTCTGACCATACGAAAGTTCTGGAAATTTCTATCTTAACCCTTCAAAAACACTGCTACGTTAGAGTATTTTGAATAAAACAAATAAATGAACTCCCCATGGCCCATATTATTGTCCATTTTTGATGAAAACATGGCCCAAGGGGGCAGAGGAAGGCAAGGCATGCGCACCTGCTGATCAAACACTCCTCGTCTCTGGTCCTGTGGTGGAACACGGGGATGGGAACGCCCCACACCCTCTGCCTCGAGATGCACCAGTATGGCCGCCGCTCCAGCGCATCGACCATGGCGTTCAGAGCTGCCCCGGGAATAAACTTCACGGCCTTCAGCACCTCCTGCAGTGGAGGCAAAATCAAGCCAGTAGGAGTGTGAAGCGCAGGTTCTGGAATGGCCCTGCTTCCCCAAGCAGGGGTGTGGCTGGTGCCTGTAATTCCAACTTCCCAGGCACTTGGAAGGCTGAGGAGGAGGATCACCCAGGCCCCGGCTGAGGGCAGCGTGGGCACCTGGCCACAGCCCATCTCAGTAGGCGAGAAGAGCACGTATGCACAGCCCACGCTGCGTACACCGACACACACCTTCGCAGAGGTCACAGCCCTAGCTCACCAGTTCTACAGGGTCTGCTAACTCAGAAGCAAAATGGACTCTGCTCTGTCAGACAGGAAGCACCGCAGAGCTCGAGAAGGTCTCCGCAGACCTCTGCTCCCTGAGCAGCACTCACTCGGGCACTGTCATCACCCGCGACAGACGAGAGGCCTGGGAGCTCAGGCTTGCGGGGTGGCAGCCTGGGGCCTGGCTTCTGCCCTAACTCTGCACCTGGCCAGGAGGGCGCCTGCGGACGACAACAAAGCCCAGGACCCTTCCGATCTGGACTGGTAGGAGTCCAGCAAAGGAACCCTAATGCAGTGCTACCCCAGCTCCAAAGCTGACCCCGCCAGCCCTCTACACCGGGGCAAGGACCCAGGCTCCGGGGGCACACCGTGCCCACCTTGGCTGTGGGCTTGATGTCCGCGATCTTCACAAACCACTGCTTGCTGGCTCGGATGATAACTGGCTTCTTCGTCCTCCAGTCATAGGGATAGCTGTGGATCAGTTTTTCTTCTTTCAGCAGACTCTTCACACTCTGAAGCATCTTTATAACTATCAAAAATACTTTATGTCAGACATGAAAAGTAGCATGAAAACCGGTTTCCATGGTGCACATCTGTGATCCCAGCTACGCAGAAGGCGACCTGGCTTCCAAGCAAGCCCAGCTTCTTGCCTTCCACTACAGACACACTAACGATAAGGTCACACTGGGTTGGTGTGGCTGAATCCGGAACCCGGCATCCTCACGACAGGAGGGCACAGAGACACAGCTGCAGGCAGGCAGCCCAGGGCAACTGAGGCAGCGTAGGGGCAGCTCTGGAACAGGCAGCGTGGGCACTGCCAGGAGACCCAAAGGCCTCCCTGGGGGTCAGGACTCTGGGACACTGAGCCTCCCAAAGCCAGGGGAGGGCAGCTCTGCTGCTGTAAGACATCAATTCACAGGGATTTGTGAATCACGCAAGAAAAGGGACACTGCCAGGAGGAGGCACATGCCTGCAAACCCAGCACTCAGGAGGCTGAGGCAGCAAGATGTCCACAAGTTTGAAGCCAGGCTGGGCTACACAGGGAGTTCAAAACTAGCCTGAACTACATAGTGAGGCCCTGTCTGAAAAAAAAAAAAAAAAAAAAAAACAGGATTCGCTGGTCAACACTAGGCTCGGTCTAGTGTGCAAAGAGGGGTCTCTAGCACCTGGTCTCTGAACATGTGAAAAGCCAGAAATCAGATCAGGACTGGAGGACTGCCAAGGACTGACATACAAACCGTCAGCAATGGCCAAGTCTCTGCAAGTGACCTAAGCAATGAGGACACAAGCGACACCAAGACCCAAGCCAGGGTTTATCTTTGTTTAGAGAGTGCCCCTTCCTACTGACCATCCTGAGGTGTGGCCACAGAGCAGCTCTGCACCAAAGATGAAAACCCCAGATTCTACTTGAAACCATGTGGTCACACAAAAGCGCTGTATCACCAGCACTCTGGGAGGCCGAGACAGAAGGGTCACAAGTGTGAGCCCAGCCAGGACAATCTTGATCCAGGCGTGGATTTCAGCGAGAGACACCAGCCATGCTGGCTGCTGTTCACTCACCCGCCTCGGTGCCCTCTTCCAGGACAGCCTTGCTCTGCAGCTCAGGGCCTGCGGCAGCTGTGAACACTCCTGCTTCATCCACCACACAGTCCTACAGCGCCGTTGTGGCGGGGAGAGAGGGGTGGACGCGTCTCAGCAGCCCCGCAAGGCAGGCGCACACAGCACCAGAGCAGCTGGGATTCTCCACACCAGAACCCTGAGTACGTCTTAGTCAGTAAGAGCTGTGCATTTTACGCTGTGAATTTTTAAATATTCAAAGGCAGAATGTATCTTTAAAGTGTGCGCCTAAGGTTTAATGACAAAAAGTAATAAAATATGCTGAACACCTTTAACTTATCTCTATTTACAGTCATGGTAATGTACAAGTCGTGCACCGTGCAACTCAAACTTTGAACCAAGTAAAAACTTCTGCGAAGAACTAAAATGCATAAGATAAAACTAAATGACTGGAGAAAAACCATTTTCTACAAAGCAGAGTCTAACTGCCATTTTGGGGGGACTGAAAGGGCTTTGTTATATAACTTTCTACTTGAAAGGAAGTACAGATAAGCCAACCTCTTTACAGGGAAAAAATCTGAGGTATCTATTTAAATATCTCAGATTTCTATTTGAACAAGTTGTTTGCTACGAGTCAGATTTGTTCAGAGCAACATGTAAATCTGAAATAACAGCAGCACACAGCTGGTAAGGTGACACACATCTGTCATCTCAGCTCAGCAAGACCCTGACATAAAAAATAGACTATGCTATCTTAGTGGCCAGCTCTTACTCTGCAAAGAAATACTCTACCTTCCCCCCACACACACACACACCTTTAATAAATGTAAAACCTTACTACTCTTGTATTAAAAAATAAGATAAATTAAAAAAATTTTTAAATAATTAAAACTACTCAGGTGTGGTGGTGCACGCCTATGATCCCAGCACTAGGGAAGCTGAGGCGGGAGGATCACCATGAGTTTAAGACTAGCCTAGGCTACACAGTTCAAAGTCAGCCTATACTACATAGCAAGACCCTGTCTTGAAAACAATAAACACGGTAAGTAAATAAAAATTTATAGAAGAGCCAGGGGTATAATTCAGGGTGCTGGCCCCGAGTTCAATCCCAGTTCTGGGAAGGACAGAAGGACAGACGGAAGGAGAGGGAGATAGGGGGAGAGGCATGGTGGGAGAGAGGGAGAAAGGAAAGGAGGGAAGGAGGGAGGGAGGGAGGAAGAAGGGAAGAGAGACAGGGAGACAGGGAGGGAGGGACGGAGGGAGGGAGGAGGAAGCAAAAACAGAAAGGAGAAAAAGCAGGGGCAGGCCTCAGAGGGGCTGCAGGTTCAGTCCAGCCCGTACAACAGCGCAGGCAGCACAGCAACGCAGACTGCAGGCACTCTCCAGCTCCCCAATGCGTACGTTATGTAGGTTAGCAAGCTTTGTCCAAAGGACAATGTTTGTACCTAAACTTAAAAACAACCTGCACCAAGCAAAAATCCTGTACCTAATGAATGCTAACAATCCTCTGTGCTGCTGAACACTGCTGCCAAGAGACTCGCCACCTCGCCACCACCCTCCACCTGTGAGTGTGCGTGTCAACACACCCCAGGGCAGGGAGGCCTGCGCAGCCCATACTCTGCCACGGGGCTCTGTACTGACTCTGGAGATTCACTGTGAGCAAATGAAACTTCGGCACAGCACAGAGCCAAGCGCTGCACAATTTCACCAGAATGGCGAACGGCCTCATCGCCAAGACATGAAAGCCTCGGGTAGGATCTGTCCCTTTATCCTTCAAGAGGACTACAAAGGAGGGGACGCAGAGCAGTACCACGGGCAGGCTGTGCTGAGAGGCCACCCCGTAGTCCTCCATGCCGTGCGCTGGGGCCGTGTGGACCAGTCCAGTGCCCTTTGCCATGGTCACATGAGTTGCAGGTAAGAGAGGTGACACTTTATCTGGAATCAAAGGATGAGTACAGGAACCACCTTCTAAATCTGCACCTGTGGAGAGAGAAAACCACTTTAGGAATGTTCTGGCAGCCGGGCGTGGGGGTGCATGCCAGTAATCCCGCAGTCAGGAGAATCCCAAGTGCCAGGCCAACCTGAGCTAGTTAGACCCTGCCTCCAAATACCCAATCTTTCGACAACCAGAACCACAAAAGCAAGGAATGGTCTGGTCTGACGGTTCTACACCTTTACACCTATCAATAGAACATCAGACTAAGAGCACAGAGCCTAAGGACGGCTGCGTGACTGGTGACTCTCCCCGGTTCTCCCTTCCCTACTTAGGGCATGAGGGGAGGCCAGCATGGGCAGGACCATGGTTCCAGTTCAGTGTGGCTGTGACGACAGTGTCCAGCCCTTTCAACTGTTATGGACTTAGCATAATGCTTGCCACACAACAAATAACACTCATAGCAATGTTCCCTGCTTGCCGCTATTATAACCAAGCGATACCTCAAGTGAGTCTGTGAAACTGTCTCTAATGTGTGTACCACTGTATGAACCTTGGAGTCCACGGAAGCCAATGTCTGATGCATCCCAGTGGGAAAGAGCCCACTGCTGCTGCTTCCATGTTCCTCTAAAGGTTCAGAACTGGCAGTAACAACTGGCTACTGAGCACCCAGCAGCTCCACGTAAAGTCTCACAATGCTTTCACAATGCTACACAGAACAGGTTCTGTCCTGAATTTGCCAATGAGAAAAACTTTGGAACAATTAGCAGTGTCTGGAATCAGATGGCTAAAGCCCAACTAAACCCAAACTTCCAGGTAAACCAATCCAGCCTTCATACCCTACGTAACCCTAACGCCCCTTGATGCCACTCCACATCCCCCACATCGCTGCTCATTTCTCTATTCTGCTGTCGCGAATTCCGTAACAGCCCTTCCTGCCCTGCACTGGAGCCTGCCCAGCGGGGCGAGCCACCCTGGCTGCCTGCGTCCTGCGTCTGCTCCTCACACGCTCAGGACTCGCACGGCCCCCAGCACTGCATCTCCAGACCCGCCCACAAGTCAGTCACCACCACAAACCACACAATGTGTGCCTTGGGGTACAGCTCCTCTGCTGTGACGGGCTTCTCTACATGTAGAAAGCTTGGCTAGGTAAAACCTTTATACCACCAGAGAATGATCTATGTAACTCTGACACTTAACTTAAAAACCTACTGGTGCTGGGCGTCATGGTGCCTGCCTGTAACTCCAGCACTTCAGAAACTGAGGCAGGAGGCTCACAGCAAGTTCAAGGACAGCCTGAACTACATAGTGAGCTCAAGGCCAGCCTGAACTACACAGTAAGACTCTGTCTCGAAAAAATAAATAAATCAAATTGAAATAAATAACCTGTTGCTAACTGTAGGTTGACATGGTGTGGTGGTACACACCGGTAATCCCAACACAGAGAGGCTGAGGCAGGAAGATTGCCACATGTTTGAGGCCAGCCCAAGATGCAAAGTGAGTTGAAGGCCAGCCTATACTACGTAGCAAGACCTTGTCTCAAAAAAAATTAAAATAAATAAAAGAAACATTGAAAAAACAGCGATGAATAAAGGTATGGAGTAAACACCTGATCCTATAACTTTCTGACTGTACCAATTAAGGGCCCAATGTGTTCCAACAGCCTACCTCTGCCATACAACCCTGCTTGTGCCGTGAAGGTTGTCTCTAGCTCTGGTTGGCCTGTATCTGAGCAGATGGGCTCAGAGGATGTACGTAGTTACCTCCAAAAGCTCTAAGAGCAACATATAAAAATGCTTAATGTATAATCAACAGAAAGTCTCTTGTAGAAAGGCAGAGCTCTTATCTGTTTCAATCCATGATTGACTGTTTGACAAAGTAGTGAAATCAAAGTATTATTTTGATGATTCTGATGATCTGAAAATCTACCAAGCTTCACCTGAAAATGTTGATGTAACTTCAAACGTCGTGTCCAAAGCAGCAGCAAGCGGCGCTACCTTCTCCGCAGCCACTACATACTGGTCCCCGGAAGTGGAGCATTTCACCAGGGCATACCTATCGGAGGACGTGAAAAGAAAACCACTGCTCAGGAGAAAAGCCACGGACAACATTTTGGTTTCAAATATTGTTTTAGAAGAATGGACATCAAGAGAAAAAAGCAGATGGAAAGAGGGAAGACGGGGAGGGCAAGAGAGTGAGCGCGCGTTCGGTGCACATCACCAGCTCCCTGCTGGGAATGGCGCCACTACGCACTACACACACGTACTAATACAAATGCAATTTTTTTTCACAACTTTGTTTTTGTTTTCCTTACAGTACAGGAGACTGAAGCCAGGGCTTCATGAATACTAGGCAAGCACGCTACCATTGTGCTACATTCCCTAAAAGTTTTTTTTTAAAGATCAAAAAGTACTATTTCCAAGATATTCCAGACTTTACACTCCTGTTTCATTTTCCCAAAAAGCTGGAAGTAAGAATTCCTTAAAAGGAACTACCCAAGGGGGCAGAGATATAGCTCAGTGGCAGAGTACCTGCCTGGCAAGTGCTATGTCCTGAGTTCGAGTTTCGACACCAAGAAGAAAATAAACAAAAGCTTAACAAAATCCATACAAACATGTATTTTCTAAATCACAAGAAGTTATAATTCACTGAATTTCAACAGGACGAGGCTGAAATTCACTCAGTGTCACACTGAGGGTGGAATGAACCCTATCTGTAAATAAACATACAACACAGGGTGCCCTACTTTGACTGTGGCGAGTAGCACAGGGCCTGGTTGGCAGGGACTGTCCATGGCTGCGTGGTCCACACCAGCACACCCACGGGGGAGGAGCCATCTGTTGGAAGAGGGGGAGGACGTGAGCAAGTGTGACAACCCTGCCCCGTGCCAAGCTCACACGAGCACACCCAGCTCACCAAGGAGAGCCGCCAGCTTCGGGGGAGGCGTCTGGAGGGGGAACTTCAGGTACACGGAACGACTGACGTGTTCTGGGTTATACTCAAGTTCTGCCTCAGCCAAGGCAGTCCTGAGGGTGCAAGATGCGAAACATGAACACTTGCAAGCTTCACTCACTGCTCCCCTTTAAGGACTAAAGAACACATATACCTTGACGAGGGAGACCAAAACACAGGTTTGTAAGACCGGTAAACCAAACCCTAGAGAAGACAAAGATACTATATAAAAGCAGAAATGTTGCAACATGCACGTCAACACACTGAAAAGAAAAAACTTTATTACCTTATCATACATCTGGTAAAAAATTCTTAACTGTTTGGCCTCGTACTTTCCATCAAATGTACAGTAGCAATTATTCCAATCTGCCATTACTCCCCAACGAATGAATGCTGATTTCTGCTTCTCAATGGCTGCTTTAGCAAATGACCTGGCTGAAAGAGAAGAGACGAGAAGCTTCGGAAAGCCAACCAATCCAAATTCTTAAGCACGGTTTAGCACGAGCGCTCTCGCTGCAAGGGTTACGCAGCTGAGGCTTTTTCTCAATACTGAGGGGTGAGCCCAGGGCTATATCCTCAGCTCTTTGTGTCTGAGACAGGGTCTCAGTGGCCAGGCAGGACTCGAACTTGCGGTCCTCCTGCACCAGTCTCCCAAGTGCTGACCATAGGCCTGTGCCAACGCTGGCAAGACTCGGAAAATTTAGTAGGTTAGTTGCATGTGTTCACAAGATACTTCAAAAGTCAATATGTTATTGCAGTCTTCTGTATTTTCCATCTGAAAAATTATCCTTTGTTGTTTCTTTCTTAGGTTTTTGGTGCCAGGGATCAAATCCTGGGCCTTACACGTGAGGCAAGCACTCTACCACTGAGCTACCTTGACAGGCCTTCCCTAGTACTTCTTAACTGAAGGAAAGTTGGAGTAATTCTCACTTCATTATATACCAAAAAAGCAACCCTCAGCATATTGTGTCTAGGCCATTGACTGTGTCTCACAAGGACGTACAAGTGTCTTCACAATTGTAGCTCACATATAATAGTGAACATTCAAGAAAGAAGATTCCTCTCTGCACAAATCTCCTGAAGAAAAGGGCCAACCAAGCAGGATATTAATTCAAATGCATTAGTATTTCAGAACCCAGAATGAGCCAACAAGCTCTATTCAGAAGAGTAAAAACAACTGATCAAAACTGAACACAGCAAACACTTAACAAGCTGAAGCCTTCAACTAAGTATGCTCACACTCTTTTTAAGCTGAAGAATCCAAGTGAACATGTTCCCGGTGTCTTCTGTTCTACCGATACACAAAATCTGAGGGTTCTGTGATTCAAAGTAGTTATCAACAGACCTCATAATAAGCAAACCAGAGCAGCACAAAAGGCCTCTTGGGCGCAGGCCTGGCTTTGCCAAGCAACCTAAGTGCTTACAGAAAGAGGTCACAGTGGGCGTGGGGGAGCACACCTGCAATTCCAAGGCTTGGGAGGCCGAGGCAGGAATATTACAGTGAGTTTCCAGCCTGGAACATATAGCGAGACGCTGTCTCAGCAGGACAAAACACGCAATGTATTAACTATTGTAACTATTCTACTAACCTGTTTTGAAACTGTCTCACTGCTGCTTCTTTCTCATTAAAATTTAATAAAAAATTTCAGAAAATAAATAAACAGGACAAAACAACACAAAAACAGAGAGCGCAAATATCATTTTAAGAAGAAACAGATTATTTACCTTTCTCTCTAATTTCCATAGGTGACAGGTCCTGAGCTTTTCCACCAAGCTTGGATAATACTTTCACCTCAATGGGCAGCCCGTGACAATCCCAGCCAGGCACAAAGTGGATTCTGGAGCCACGCATCATGTGGTATCGATTGGCTATGTCTTTCAAAATCTGCAAAGGCGAAATGATAACTGTTGAAATAGGAAGCATGTGGCCCACAGTTTATAATAGCCTTCATGTAACACCAGTCCAATGCAATACCGTTAGAATACTGAGAAAGCCTAGTTTTAAAAGTATTCTGTAGAATAATCTATTAAATGTATCAATCCATGCGCTAAAAGAGAAGTAACAGATATCTGGATTTTTTTTTTTTTTTTTTTGGCGGTAAAGGGGATTGAACTCAGGATCTTGCACTTGCTAGGCAATCGCTGATATCTGGATTTTCACAATGCTATTAACTTCACCTCTAAAAAAGTCAAAGAACAAGAGATTTCAAAGTGAAAAACATGCACAAAAAAATTAACTCTCATGTTATTACCATTCATAACAGTTGCAGAATACAGCGCACACTCAGATGCAGAGCACAAGAGCTCTCAGACAGGGCCCATGTGAGACACTAGAGGCCAGAGCACAGCACTGCCTGGACGGAAGGAGGCCCGAAGGCACCGCACGGTTGGGCTCCATTCCAGCGCCTCCTTCCCAAGAGGAAAGAGTCCTGGCCCAGTAGTCCCAAAGCAATCTCCTCCTCCCCAGTGTCAAAGGTAGAAAAAATATGGCAGGTCCCTTTGCTCCTTGTCCCTTTCTAAAACTGCATTTCCCAAACCTCTTAGCAAAGAACTGGAGGGGCTGAGTGTGGTGGAATCCGAGCATTCCGGAGGCTGAGGCAGGAGTGCCGCAAGGTCAAGGCCAGCCTGGGCTACGCAGTGAATTCAAGCCCTAGAACAACCCCCTCAAAAAAATGAGAGGGGCAAAAGAGCCTTATATAAAATATGATCTTAGTTGGATAGATTTAAAAGACAATTTTTCTCAAATTAAAGTGTCTTAAACATAAATGGCTAAGAAGTTCCAGAAACAGAAAAGAGAAGCTGTGTGTAATTTAAGGTGGAGGAAAAGACCTCACAGCAATGAGTGCTTGGCTTTATTTCCTTTCTCCCTTCTGAGGTGAGAGCACTAACCTTCAGGCAGACACCTCAGAAGCCTGGGTGTAAACACAGGGGTAGCAGCACATCTACCCCTCTCCTTTCAAGGTTGTACACTACATCGCCACCAGGGCTTACTTACAACCTCACTGAGAGTATCTAGTATGATCACACACAATGCCAGGTCAGAACAGGACCAGGGAACAGTTCTTTTAAATAAAGAACAGCTGGCTCTTCTAAGAAAAAGCGTCTACGTGTACGTTTACATCCTCATCACACTTCTTCTCATAAGGTATTTACGTACACATTTTCTCTGGAGTCTGACAGCATGGCCTCCAATTACCTTATTTAAAGCGTGTCCAATGTGAGGGTCACCATTTGCATAGGGAGGTCCATCATGCAGACAAAACTCTGTCTTTCCTTTTCTTTCTCTTTGCCATGAATAAAGTTCTGAGAACCCACATTTCTGGTTAAAAAGAACAACATCGTGTCAATGCACACTGCAAAATCTTATCATAAGTAACACCCAGCACTTGTTTATTCCTGGCCCATCCTAATCTACCGATCGTTCTCAAATATAAATGGCAAAGATTCTGGAACGCGCATCCAAGTATTCTCCTCTTACAGCTTTTTTTTTTTTTTAATTTTATTTATTTATGTGGGGGGGGGCAGCTCTGCCCACCAGGGGGCGGGGCTGGCTGGCATGTGGTGCTGGGGGATTGAACCGCGGTCGCTGTGCTTTGCTAGGCTTGTTCCAAGTAGGTGCTTTAGACCACTGAGCCATCTCACCAGCCCCATCTCCTCTTACAGCTTTTCAGGAGTACTAACAGACCGGTGCAGAACTCGGGGGCGGGGGTGATGGGGGGCTGAGGCAGGAGGAACAACGGCCTGGAGTACACAGTGAGACCGCCTCAGAAAACACAACAATAACAGAAGATTACACCTAACACAGATTAAAGTGATGAGAAGGTTGGTTCGGAGACTACAGCGCTGCTCAGAGCACAGGACGTGAGTAAAACCCAGCTCTGGAGATTCAGCGCTGCAATTCCCGCCCTTGACACAGGAAGGTCACCTCTCTCTCTCTTAAAGGCTTGGGCACGACCACGGTCCGGAGTTCAAATAGATGTCTGAATTACGTTTGTTTAAATGTAGTAAGTAGGGGGGCCTGGGAGATGTCTCAGTGGAATAAGTGCTTCCCTGGCAAGCGCAAGGGCCTGAGTTCAATCCCTGGTTCCACCAAAATAAATGTAGTAAGTAGGAAAATCAGGTTACAACTTCCGTGGGTTTGAACAGAGGGCCCTAGCTAGTCTTCTTTAAAACAAAAACCCTTCCGTTTATTCTTTTGGCCTCCGGGGGTGGCGGCCCCGCCGCCCGTCGCCCTCCCGCCACAGCCGCCCCTCCGCGGGCTTCCCCGCACCTGACCTCGCGCCCCCAAATCCGCAGGACCCGGGCGGCCCCGCCTCCTCCGCCCGGGCGTGACACTGGTCACCCCGTGTCCTCCGAGGTCCGGGAGAGGAAGCCGGCCGGCACCCCGAGCCACACGGACCGCAGGGGCGCGCGGGCTCCCCGAGCCGCGGGGCGTCGC